CTCTCTCTCTCTCTCTCTCTCTCTCTCTCTCTCTCTCTCTCTCTCTCAAATAGAATTCAGATCCTTTGGATAATGTTAAATTTCAGAAAGATCTCTTGATTTTATTTCATTAATAAGCGCTAATTGTCTGTAGGATTTTGGTCAAAAATTGAGTGTCTTACAATATTATTTGATTAAGTACAATATCAAGCTTTACTTTGGAGGAAATAGTTTATTAGATTGGAAAAGAGATGGGGAAATGCTGTGATTTTATTACTATCATTAAACCTGGTTAATCTGCAAATTACTTCCACATGTTTTTCAGATTATTGTATTCTTAATATTGAGAAATACTGAAACCATTTTATCTTAAAATCTTTTTCTTTTTCTGAAATTGCCAGTAAGTTACATTGGAGAACTTGAGGTGCCATTAACTCCTCCATGTAGGAAAGAAAATATGCGCATGAATTCATTGTGTGTCTACTTAAAACCAGAACCTGTTTCTCCCATTAATAAAAGGTGAGGTCATTTTTGTCTTTAGACTTTACTGTGTTTTATGTGCTCATTGAAGAGAAGAACAACAAGACCTTTAAATGTTGCTTCCCCCGTTGGGTTTTTGTTTTAGTCCTCCTTAAGGGAGGATGATTTAATTGTAATTTGACACGAGTGCGTGTGTTAAATGTGCTTTTGTATTTATATTTCCGTGGTAATATTTTCAAATGTTAGGTTTAGTTAGATGCTGGATTATTTTTCAATTATACTGAATTTATTTATTAAGATTATATGCCACCTTTTGTTCAGAAGCCCCAAGGCAATATATATCATGCTCAGTCCTCCAGTTTTTCCCTATGCTCACAGCACTGCGACATAAGTTGGGCTGAAAGTGTGTAGTTGACCCCAAATCACTCAGTTAGTTTCTGTACCTGAAGCTAGAGCAGAATTGCATTGCCTAAGCATCAGTCTAACACTTTAACAACTGACTATACCATACGAGCTCTTTATAAAGATTATAAGTTTTTTTAAAAATAGAAATTTTTTTTAGGAAAGTAAATATATTAGTTTGAGAAATACATAGGGTCAGGGGTGAGATTCGACCGGTTCAGACCGGTTCAGTAGTACTGGTTGTTATGTTTCCTGGTAGTTCGGAGAACTGGTAAAACGGGGCCCTGGCTGGCCTCGCCCCCTCCACCTGTTCCTCCTGCCTAGTCAATCCTTATTGTGCATGTGCGACATCACGCATATGCATGACAATCGCTGATGGCATTCTCCCCCCGCCCGCCCAGCCCAGTAACTCCTTATAACGCATGAGAGCTCGCTTCCCACATTTTCCGCCCTGCGGTTTGGGCTTTCCCAACTGCCTGCAAACTTACCTTCCTCCCGCAGCTGTTGGCAGAGGGAAAGGTGAGCCAGCCAGGGTGGGCTGGCTCATCTGTCCTGCAGTTCATCTCTCTCGCAGCTCCTCGTTTGAAGTTCCCAGCCCTTTCCCCAAAAGAGGGAGGGGTGGAAGTCCCACCCATGGCCCTTTGTTGGATCCAGAAGCCTTGCCTGCCGGCTTTTCTGGGCAACACGGGACTGAGCATGAACAGACAATCGTGCCTGGTCCCTGGGACTCTGGGAGACTCTTCACGAGCAACACTGCCAGGTGAGTACCTTGTTGGAAGTGTGTGTGTGTGCATTTGTTTCATGTGGCTCTCCCAGCTTTCGGAGGAGAGAGGGAAGGAGGAAGGGAAGAGAGAGGGAGAGAAAGAGAGAGGGAAAGAGAGAGAGAAGGAAGAGACAAGAAAG